GTGCTGTCTTTGATTCCTTAGTTTACCAATTCCCAAGTCAATTTTTTTCCCTGTTGATTGTCACATTTTCTCAGAGGATCTATTGTAGTCTTTATGTTGGCAGATGGAGACAGGGCTATACACAAATGGGAACTCATGTAAAAAAAATCCTGTGACAATATACTACAAGATCGATCATATAGTAAAGGGCTATATTTTTGTATTGTCACATTTTAAGAGGAAAATTGAGTAGAATGTGTTATATATCTGAAAAAATGCTAAAACAATTATGCAAAGGATGCCTAAGAATAATGTGTACTTGTGTGGGAGGCCTAAGAATTTCTTTAAGTTGCTAAAGTGTAACTTGTTGTATTTTCATTATGTAAAATTCTGGCTGGGTTTGCTAACAGTTGCATTTCAGCAAAATCAAGCATTCAACTTCCGAAGTACAGGATTAAACATTAATACAAATTATATAGTGAAAATTCATTCAGATTTTCCTCTCAGATGATAAATCTCTTTTTCTAAGAACAATTCAGTTGACTAAAGAGTTATGAAATATTATGCCTGAGCAATATTGAGAATATAATTGACAAAAAGAAGAGGGGGTCTCAAGCAGTACAAAAGTCATGTACTTTCACTTCAAAGCCCTGTTTCATAGCCCATGGATATGAAATTTGGTAGCTTTAATTTGGCTTGTTCTATTGCTCAATGGTTTCTTTCTCTAACTTTACTTCTTTTCAGATTCACCACTATTGCTTTTGCTAACTTGGCTCATCGGCAAAAAAGAAGGCAAAGATGAGCTTACGAATACTAAGTTAATCCATGTATAGTAGCAAAAGTCATCACAATGTTTTCCCAAGAATTATAAAGAATGATGTTGAAATAGGTTGCATTTTTACATCAAGATTTAATACATAAATGGAGTTTTAATTCAGCCAGTATATAAAATACATCTGGGTTCAACCAAGCTTTCCCAAGAATATTATACAGAGCTGTGGTGGTGCAGTGATTACCGACTGCCAGAAGTTCGGCAGTTTGAGTCTCACCAGCTCAAGGTTGACTCAGCCTTCCATCTTTCTGAGATCGGTAAAATAAAGACCCAGATTCTTGGGGGCAATATGCTGACTCTGTAAACTGCTTAGAGAGGGTTGTAAAACACTGTGAAGTGGTATATAAGTCTAAGTGCTATTGCTTTTTAATAAAAACATCCAGCAATAGCACTTAGACTTATATACCACTTCACAGTGTTTTACAGCCCTTTCTAAGTGGACTGTAAGTGGACTCAAACTCTTTCTTGGTTTCGTTTGATTTGGTTGAGTTGGGTTGGATTACTATTGCTTTTTAATAATATTTACATCTAGACAGCCTTTCCCAACTTGGAGCTCTTTAGAAGTGCTAGGCTACAATGTCAACCATCTCTGACTAATATGGAAGATTTAATCTCAAGATAGCACAAGGCTTTGAAAAAATGCCTAAAAGATCTCAAATCTTCTGAGACCGAGTACTTTTTATTTTATTCCTTAGAGGTGTATCACATTTTTCCTCTGCAAACAAAAGGCAACATACATAGCCCTCTTCAAAAAATTTTCCCCAAATAACAATTCTGTGCAATATATTGCTTTAGGAAATATAGCAGGACCCAAAATAGCCAGTGAGTTTTCCTGACTCATGATGGACTTGAATCTGGATCTTCCTCATCCTCATCCTCATCCCAAATCTGCTCCCAAGTATTATTTAAGTGTTTTAGTTGGAGTAAAAAGAGAAAATACAAATCCTCTAAGTAAGTATATATATAAAACAAACTAAACTTGTTCAGAAATATTTCTAGATTTTTCTCAAACTTTTAGTGAATAATGTAGCACCAAACAATGCAAAACAATCCATTTGAATATTACTAGTACAGGATAATTAAAAGGGAATTGGCAGTGGCCATATTTATCCTGCCTCTTTCTTCTCCATACTAATCAGTTTCAAGGCATAGAATTTTCTTTCATAAGCTGGAGCCAGGAAGCATGACCCTATCTTTTTTATCTTTTTCTCATTGACTATCTAAAAAGGTCATTCTATTTAGATAGGATGTCTTATTCTATATTGTGATATCCTATATTGTGATACAGTAAGTAATGCCAAACGGAATTGATTTTTATCTCTATTTTTAGGTAAAACACATATTAGTGATACAATGAAAAAGAAAATCATTTTGTAAATTATGTAAATAAAAGGATAATAAACAAGATCAAAATGTAATAAGTTGGGCAGGACTCTCAACCATGGGAGAAAGAGGAAGAGAAGAAGAAAGAGGAGAAGGAAAAGAAGAAGTCCTCCAGACATTAAGAGGTGAAGGGAAGGAAAGCAAGCTGTGTAATTGGAAATGTAGTTGCAAAAATGGAAAGCTGAAATAAGTTAAGATCAACAATAGTTGGACTAGGTCTTGAAAAATGGTCCACATATACAAAAAACACAAATAATATGAAAAGTATAATTCTTTATTCCTCCAATGCTGTTGCATTACAATTCTCACCATGGTTAATTTCAACATCTAATACTAATACTAATACTAATAATAGTAAAATTGGAAGGGACCTTGGAGGTAATCTAGTCCAACCCCCTGCTCAGGCAGGAAACCCTATACCATTTCAGACAAATGGCTGTCCAGTCTCTTCTTAAAAACTTCCAGTGTTGGAGCATTCACCGCTTCTGGAGGCAGGTTGTTCCACTGGTTAATTGTTCTAACTGTCAGAAAGTTTCTTCGTAGTTCTAGGTTGCTTCTCTCTTTGGTTAGTTTCCACCCGTTGCTTCTTGTCCTGCCTTCAGGCGCCTTGGAAAATAGCTTGACTCCCTCTTCTTTGTGGCAGCCCCTGAGATATTGGAACACTGCTATCATGTCCCCCCTCGTCCTTCTCTTCATTAAACTAGACATACCCAATTCCAGCAACCGTTCCTTATATGTTTTAGCCTCCGGTCCCCTGATCATCTTTGTTGCTCTTCTCTGTACTCTTTCTAGAGTCTCAACATCTTTTTTACATCGTGGTGACCAAAACTGGATGCAGTATTCCAAGTGTGGTCTTACTAAGGCATTGTAAAGTGGTATTAATACTTCACATGATCTTGATTCTATCCCTCTGTTAATGCAGCCTAGCACTGTGTTGGCTTTTTTGGCAGCTGCAGCACACTGCTGGCTCATATTTAAATGATTGTCCACTAGGACTCCGAGGTCACAAGGTTCCCATGAGCAGAATATAAACAAATAAATGCATGTACTTTTCCTTTTCCAAAATGTTAACATCTCTAATTAAATATTCTGAATACGGTTAAAATTGTCCTCTCTTTCTGCCTTCCAGAAAGTGCTGCTTGGGACAGCTATGAAAAGTTTGTTCCCATCCTCCCTGAAATTAAAAAGTTAGCCTTTCGGTGGTTTAATATTGGTTCTCCTCTTTCTCCATTGGCAAACAGATTGAAAAAATATAAATGTACCCAAAACAGCCAGCCTTTAGAACAGCGGTTCTCAACCTATGGGTCGCGACCCCATTTGGGGTCGATCGACCATTTCACGGGGGTCGCCAAGCAAGGCTGTCCGCCATTTTTTCCCCTTTTCTGGCGGGTGCCTTACTTCCCTTGAGCTGGGCCAGCTGGTGGTCGGCCTGCTCCGTCTCTGCCGCTTGCCAGCTACGCCTCGGCCGGCGCAGGGGGCAGAACCACGCATGTGCGGCGCTCCCGGGCAGGGAAAGTCCTCAACTTACGACCAGTTGGGTAGTCCTCGACTTACGACTGGTTTAGTCCTCGACTTATGACCGGTTTAGTCCTCAACTTACGACCGGTTTAGTCCTCAACTTACGACCGGTTGGGGGTCGCGGCATTAAAAAGGTTGAGAACCACTGGTTTAGAACAATTATCATTATGTAGCATATCCTTCAATGTAGTTTTCGTTGGAGAGACTGTTGAATAATGAGCCAAATATTTGTGATGTCTAGGTTCCCTAGTCAATTGTTTTAGGAACAGAACATGCTGTCTTGATTGCAAGACCTCATACTTAGCACCATCCATGCAAAACAGAAGAGGAATGAGTGTTAGCTGCCTCTCTTAGTGAAAAGATTTTGTGTCATTAAGTGACTCATTAATATGTTAATTTAGAAAACAAGCAATTAAAACAAATTATTCCCTAAATATAAAAATACTTAATTTCTCATATAATTGTTTCTCATACAGGCGGATGTTTCCAGTTTTAAAGATCAGTGTTTCAGGGTTGGATCCAAATGCTATGTATTCTTTTCTGCTGGATTTTGCTCCAACTGATAGCCACCGCTGGAAGTACGTGAATGGAGAATGGGTTCCTGCTGGAAAGCCAGAGCCATCCAACCACAGCTGTGTCTATATCCATCCAGACTCACCCAACTTTGGAGCACACTGGATGAAGGCCACAGTATCTTTTAGCAAAGTGAAACTTACCAATAAGCTAAATGGCAATGGGCAGGTATGGCACCATGGGTTTTTTTTGTAAGCCTCTTGGCTTCCGTCATTGGCTTCTACCAATTGAGAATGATCAAGGGTGCATTTATGCAATTAGAAGGGCCCTTAGAGGCCTCTTCACCCACAGATGCCAATTATTCCATCGAGTCCAAATGTAAACAGGAATAAACAGGCTTTAATTGGAGCTTTCAGATTTTAATGGACTCCTTGATGTCAAG